TGTCACAAATACACAGAGGTTTAATTAAATTATATTCAAATTATTGGAAAATTTCAAATCCAATTTTTTATCTTCAAAACTTTGACAGGAAGTGTGTACTGCAATGCTATACCAGTCTTTATTGCCTATCTCTAATTGGCCTTGAGAAGGTGACGGCGAGTTGCCTTCTTAAACCACTGCAGTCCATGGAGGGTATGTACCTCCACAATACTGTTATTAAAAGGGTTTGAGGAACTGGGACATATTGCATAGTGGAATTTCCATCCCACTGAAAGATGCACCTTTTGGCCCCCGTTTGATTTTCTAGCCCTGGAAGTCACTTGCGCAGATATATTATACATAACAGTAGCTCTGTAATTACTGCTGTGCTTGCCTGCAGTGGGGTTGGGGAATGGGTTGTGGAGGAGAGAAGATGACCGAAAGCTGTTGCTAATGGATACTGCTTTCAAAGTGAATCTGTGATTGATTACATAAATTTCTAGACTGCTTAAATTAGTGGTAAATCATATTTTGTCGAGGAAAATTAAGGTCTGAAAATGGGCGAAGTAGCAGAATTTACAGTCAATTCAATCTCTGCCCTGCTTGCCTTTTTCCTGTACTGAAAATTGACAGATGGTCAGCAGGATGTCTCAGCCCTTCATATTTCAGATAACAAGCACTAAACAAACTGTTATGGCAATTTGACCTCTAGGTTCTGGCTTGCTAAATTTTAAAATAGTGAATAAGGCATCATGGCTAGACAACTGCTAAACACTATTCGTGGGTGAATATAGGCAACGTTAGCTCTTGGGGTTCACCCAAGTTAAGGGCCATGAGCTAGTCTGGCTTGGTAATGAACCACTGTTTCATTTCAAACACAATTTTCAATTTTAAAAATTCTTGTGCTGTGCTCAGAAAATGGACTGACTGCAGAGGAAACCTCTGTTCCCTCCAATCTGCTGGATGGGTTGCTTCACTTCCAGAAAAGTAATCCATCGTCCCTTAAGGTACTGTTAGCAATTGATGATTTATTGAAATCCATCATGCATTCATAATCTAGTACTACCAAAAAATTAAATCCTAAGTGTTCAAGAGTATTAACTGTTTTTTAGTACATATTCAGATAATTGAATAGAGCTGGACAACATTTCACATGCCCATCTTCATGCTCATTAAGTGAACAATAGTGTTGATTTCAGATCTCCAGTATTGGCAGTGAGACCGTTTTTGTAAGGACTTCTGGCAGACTTGTTGGGAAAAGTAGCGTTGTTTTTCCTGAGTGGTTCTCATCAGACAACAAGATGATCTTTTCAGTAAAGTGAAAGTACGACATAAAATTGCCCTCAATCTGATTGAAATAAGAAAAGGATATCTGTTAAATAAAATTGTTGGTAAAATTAATCTTCCATGTTGTTTGTGTAGGGTAACACATAGCCAAAAATAGAAATACATTTAAGTTACGTGGTAAACATTCATAATCTGAATTTATTGCCTTTGTCAAACGCTCCACTGTTAGTTGAGTTACAAAATCATTTGAATTTTACTTGGAGAGACCTAAGTAAGGTTTAATTAAGTGAATCATTTCAGGGAAATCTCTCAAAACCATGTTTTAGAACTACTGTTGCCTAATGGAAAAACATTATTCAGTACATCTGTGCGATTCACCCCATTTTATTGCTCTAAGCTAACACAATAGGATGTGTAAATAATACATATTATATCTAATATTCTCCTTAGTTTATTATTAAACCTAGCATTGACAGCAATTAGAGCTAAAGACTCGTGGCATAGTGACCTTTGAGTTCACCGGTTCAGTTGCATGGAAAACTCAATCTTTTTGCTGATTTGAGCTGATCTTACCTGCCAGTAGTTCTTAACCTTGGTCTGGTGGCACTAAGGTGGTAGAAAAAAATAAGTTGAGCTACCATTCCTTATTTCATCGAATGTATATGATGGGATCAGAATGGAGTGATGATGGCAATGATGCCAACTCTGCCTTCTGTGGCCAACCATTCAATTGAAGATCCATGTAGACATAAATACTTTGTCCATACAGCTTTTAAAGTTAGCTGTTGCCGCATGACACAGCAAGAGTTAGCATTATTAGGGAATGAAAATTTTCTGAAATACACTTTCATATAATCAATTTGTACCTTCCTGGTGGTACTTTTTATAAATTTCTGTTTCATCAGCAATATAGTTAAGCACACTTTCCCAAGCTTGATTTGGTGCATTAATCATGTGATAACTGCTTTAATTTCTTGGGCAATCCAAGTGACATGCAAAGCCTTATTTATATCCTAACTATGTTGGAAAGCGATAAAATGCATCTGGATTTTCTGCAAGTTTTATTTGTTCAAGATATATTAGATTGGAAATTGGTTTACTTTGTTATGTTGAAATATTTGGTAAATTTACTTTTCTTCCCTGCAGAATCAAGGCCATTGAAAGCCCTGATAAAGATGACGATACAATATGGCTGATGTACTGGGTAGTATATGGTCTCTTCAGTGTAGCTGAATTCTTTTCTGATATCTTCTTTTCCTGGTTTCCCTTCTATTATATGTTCAAGGTAAGTAGAAATTAATTTATAATGGATTTGCATTGTAATGTACACTAAAGTTGGAGAAAATTCATATTAAGTCTAGGTCTATGACTTATTCTTGTCATTAACTACTAATGTTGGAAGTCTTTATGATGGCCTGAATATTTATGACAACCACTCATTTTGGTATTAAGGGAATGGAATGAAACTGAAAACGAAAGCTTCAGAGCATACTTGGAAAACCATAAAATACATGTGAATGATGAAGGCTGATTTGGTCTAACTTAATTTATCTAATCTAAAACATATTGATAGTTCTTTGGCTTTGGCCTGTCTTTATGGGGAGAGTAAAGACAAACAGGCTCTGTGCAAGATACTGCCCCACCTGACTACAAACCCACATTAGGGGTGTTATAGAATACCCCTGTTCATCAAAATTCAAAGTTCAACACCATCCTGGACAAAGCAGTCTGTTTTGCATTCTTTCAAATAATTACTTCCTCTGCCATCAGTACACAGTGGCAATAACGTATACCACTTACATCCTGCACTGCAATGAATTGCCTTCTTCAATACCATTTTCCTAACCACAACTTCTAGCTCCTAGAAGAACAAGGAAAACAGAGACATGGGAACATTTTTTTTCTTGTATGTTTCCCCTCCAAGTTGCACAGCATTCTGACTTGCTTTACCATTGCGGTGTCAAAATGTTCCCTTGTTAATAGTACTGTAGGACTATGGACTGCTCCATTTTGAGAAGATTGCTCCCAAAACTCTTGAGAGTACTTGGGGATGGGCAATAAATACTGATGTTATCAGTGATGCCCACATCCTGGGATTGAATAAATAAATAAACAGTCCAAGTTTCCCTGCTCGCTAAATAGTTTTGTCTCCACGGTAGCATGTTTTTAAGAACAGGAAACCCATCTGATTTAAAGGATTGGCTTTAAGTAGAAAACACTTCTTCGGAGCAGCTAGACCATGCTGCTTGAAGATTTTTGAGAGATGGGGCATAGGGGTGATAGCTGATAAAGAACAACTTGTAGGGTCAGGGACAGATCACAGGGAGTTCGATAAATTGAGAACTTTGGGAGGCATCCTTGATTGCAGGTGGGGAAGTGGGGTAGCTTGAAGAATATTGTATTTGACTAACTGCTGTGTGTTTCCTGCTTTAGAGCAGAAGTAGATTGTATTTATATTGCATAACTGAAAATAAAATCACAAGATGGTATGGGATAATCTGTTCAAGAGACAGTAACATGTAGAAGGATTTTGAAACAAATATGCATAAATTATTTTGAGTTAAGTCAAAATGTTATTACCAATCAAAATGTCTAAACTGGTGATATTTAGAACAACAATTGATAGGTAAACAAATTTAACGGGAATCGCATTGTAGACAAATGTAGGATCTCTGTTATTTTAATGCATGTCATCTTAATATCTAGTGTGTGTTCCTGGTTTGGTGTATGGTTCCCATCACAAATAATGGCTCTCAAATGATCTACAAGCGTTTCATTCGCCCTTTCTTTCTGAAACATGAGGCTAAATTGGATGAAGTTGTGAAGAATATTGGTGATCGGGCCTCAGAAGCTGCAGATACCATAAAAGAAAATGGTAAGGTTAATAACTTATTCCTTTGAAGCTGAAGTAGATTCCTTGCATGTCAGGTACTGTTGAGCAGGTCTGTTAAACTACAAAACCTTCAAATGTTTTCTCAGTGATGAAATTTTGTGCTTTTAACTCTTGCAGAATGAATAGCCTAACTCAGCCGTGCTCAATCAAGGAGAAGTCACTTAACAATGTCTTCTCATTAGTGGGCTGAAATAAGAGCAGCTTTAATACATTTGGGACCAGGTCAAATCATCAAATGTTAAAAATCAGTTAACTAGCTTTTATAATGGAGGACTTTGTGGCACCGTGATGGTCTCTCTGCCTGAGCTCCACACATGTACCACTTCCAGGACTTGATGGCCATGGAAGCTGTACTTGTAAGTGTAGTCAAACATGTTGATTATCAATCCACAAATCTTTGTTATGTCTATGGCATATGGTATGAGTGCGAGAGTTCCTGGTTAGTGATGCTTAATATGGAATGATGCCCCTCGAATGGAAATGGATGTAATCAAAGCTTTGACTGCTTGCTATACCACTAGCGCGAAGAGGAACAAGACTCTTGCTTTTGTAATGGAGGAGGGGTTAACATCAGTCCAAATAAGCTTTTAGCTAGGGAATAACAATTATGTTTTTTTTTATTTGCATGAAACACTAAACTGAGGCTCTGTGTAATGTCTCAGTAGGATCGATGGGTCAAGTGGTGCCATTGTTGAAAAATGGTACTTTTCCCGGTCACCTGTCCAATATCACTAACATACATTGTCTGGGCCATTATGAAATAAGTTGTCTTTCCCACTTCTAGCCTGTTGCATCTAGACACGTCACTTAAGTTTCCTGTTTTGTTGCACTCTTCTGGAGTTGCAGTGGTGTCATCTCAAGTTAACAGTTTAACTTGCTGTAGGTAATTTCCTTGATGTCCTTTGATAACTCCTTCGTGGAGGTGGACCTTGAGATTTAATGAAATACTGAATAGTGTGAACAAGATTATAGGCATTATTCCAGGTCTATACACTGGAGTTCCAATGTATTGTTCTGTATCGCTGCATGAACATCAATTTCAAAAGACGAATGCACGTTAATGCTATTTAATGCTGTTAATCAGATTCTCATTGTCGTTCTGGAAAGTTGATTTTGGGTGAAGATCATTTTGGACTTGAGGGTAATGCTGCACTGCTAAAACAGCTTGTAAACATTTACTCTTAGCTTGTAAACATTTACTCTTTGGCCATCTACTTGGCAAGATATTACATATTCTTGGTGCACCAGCATAGAATCCAGTGCCTTGTAAGATGCAAGGATTTTTTTTTTTTTGGAAGTGAGTAAGCCAGTTTAGTCGGTAGGAACTGGACAATTGATCTATGCCATGATTAGAATTTGTGTTTGGCTGGTTTGAGATCAGTGATTTGAAGGTACCATCTATGTTTGTTCATTTGTCTTTCTAGCCAAAAAAGCAACAGCAAACCTAATCTTTGAAGAGAAGAAGAGTACTTAAACAATGACTGAAAAAGCTCCCTGGAATCAAGAGTGTTAAGATATTGCCTTTGGAAAGTTTTTTTTCAATGCACACTTTAAATGTATTTCTTATAACCTATTTGCTCAGTTTTATCAAATAAAAGTGGAAAAATGTATGGTACTCAAATGTAATATTACAGTCAGTGTTTAATTGCTTGTTGCAAATATTTCATGGATTATTGCTAATGATGCAGATGCAGTTCTGAGAGTGGCATTTTTCTGGTTTGTCTTGTCCTTTTATTGTCTGATAAATGTTCAATAAACTTCAAAACTTGACTCTTGTCACTTTTGAACCAAAGTTTAGTAAACTTGAAGATCAATATCTTTGTTTGAGCAAAAACTGCATTTTCTCAGTTATGTCCTTTGTTGCGGAGCTCGTGGCTTACAATAACTTACTTTCCACAGAAACCAGGCATTTGCATGCCTTTATTTTGTGATGTATTCAATAACTTACTCTTGCAGCCAAATGTTACAGCTCTACTTCTGGCTTTTTTTTTAAAAAGTAAGATTTAACTGCGGTTTAAACAGTTGCTTTATTAATCAATATAGTTGATTTCTTCAAGGCCAGGCCAGGCCAAGGCTGCCCAAGGGGTATACAAATAATGTCAAAAGTACGTGGGATTAGCTGAAAGAACCAGGAAATTGTGATCTTTTGTATGTTCATGGAATTGCAAATAATTGAAAAGTAAAAAGAGGTTATACACTGAAATATTTATTGGGATTGTATCACAGACAAAAACACCAAATCACACAATGGCTTTCTGTCTGAATTTTGTTCAGCTTGTTTTTTGTTTTTCACCAAAATAACATTTTCATTTCAAGAAATTAATAGTCTTCAATACAATAGCAACATGCATTTGTATTGTTAACAGAAAAATGTGCAGAAGTGTTGTACAGGTGCATAAGTTTTTAAGAACAGACTTGTAAAATTTGATCAATGCCACGTTTAGGGCAGAAAATCCAAAATGTAGTTTTAAATGACAACAGCAGGTAATAGTGGAGCAAAAAATTGAAGAGCGTGTGCTGCACTAGAAGCTGGAGTCAGAAATGGGAATTCAACAGGGATTATTGAACCACAGGTTGGAGATGTAAGCATTTAAATACCAGTGAGAGAATAGTAAATTTGAAACACCCAGGGATCAGGAGCTAATCAATATTGCAGGACGTTTCACATAATCATAATTGATAATGCAGCCACATAAAGAAATAAGACAAGTTGTCAAAAGCTCGGTCAAAATAGTAGGTTTTTTTAAAAGTGTAAACCAGAAAAACCTGTTTAAGAACAAAAGTTCAGAGACAGCTGCTCAATGCAGTTGCTTCTGATGGAAGCCATTTGTGTGGTTTGCTAAGACCGTTTCAGAGGGGTGTTAATTATCAACACCACTGCTGTGGGTTTGTAGTTGCATGTAGGCCAGACTAGGTAAGAACTGAATAATTTTTTTAGTGAACCAAATGGATTTTTACAACACTTTTCAAAGTCATCATTAAATTCTTGAATCAAGTTGTCTTTTTTGTTTACATTCAAATTCCACCATTTGCCATAATGGAGTTTCAACCTACATCCCTGGATGACTGATTCAATACCACTGCACCATTACCTTCCTAAACAGCAAGAACGTAATCACCTGAAGGTGGCAGGTGAAGATGAGGGTTTCAGTAACATTGAGTATATAAGGTGATCAGGAGGAGGGCAATAAACAGTTTTAGTGGAGTGGAGGGAGGGATTGCAGATACTAGAGTAAAAAGATCATGTAGGAAGAGAGACAAGGTTGGAGAAGGCTGCCAGATGGAGTGAATCCTTGGTGATTTAAAACAGGATTAAGCCCACCAACAAAGAAGATTTAGAGTAGGTTTAGCATAAAATAGAACAACCTGGCGTGTTTGAGAAATGGACGTTAAGAAAGCATTAACCTCCAGCTGTCAACACAAAGGTATGAATAAGACTGTCAGCACAATACCTCTGCCAGAAGCACACATGCAGTGTGGAATACCAAAGGATTAAAAATTAATTTCACAATGTAAAGTCAGTCAAAGTAACTCTTATAATTTCTATGAACCTGCCTGGTCACTGCCATATGACTGTTCCATACAGAAGACAGAGATTGGTAATATATGCTGGTTGGCCAACCCTGTGGCTTCCATACAGCAAGCTTGTAAGGAACCAGTCCTGTTCTGTTATGCTGCCGTGGAATAGGTATGCAAGTTTTTGGCCCTTGATGTTTATTTGGAAAAGCATTGCCCAAGAAATCACAATAGAAGAGAAACACATGGGTATTCTGGATCTTTCACTGAAACCAACGTAACGAGAATCTGGGAATGATTCGTCAGAGGCAGAGTCCATAATGCTGCAGACGAGGCAGTGGTACCTCTGGAGTATTGTGACAATAATTTCAGTCATTTTCTGTAGGTCTGTATTGTAGCAATGTTGAAAATGATGTACAAACATGGATAGCTTAACAAATGAGTTGTGAACAGGGGTCGGCTTGAAGAGCCTGAGATACAGGTATTTCTGCTATAACGCTCTTTCATTAACACAAATTGGCTCAAATGTGATTGATGAATAGTGGTCACTGTTTGGATAACACAAACTTTCTGATATAGGTATAGTGATCTTATATAGCACGAGGTCACATGAACGCAACTGTCACGTTGTAGAAGAAATACCTGTAGTTAGGTTGAAGGATAAAGGAAATTTTCATGCTTTCGGTATCTTTCAGGGAATAAATAAACATGCTGGTAATATGTTTCAAGTTATCACAAACTTCAGAATTAGGATATTAACTCAGGTGTAAGAGCAGGTGTGTTCTCAGAGAAAAAATATCTGCAAATATATAGCTCAGAAATATGAAGGAACAAACGATGGAAAATCATTGGTTTTTTGGGATTAACCCGATGGACTGTACGGATCCTATTCAATCCTGCACTTTCACGTGAATCCAATTGTACACTTTAATCCACTTGACATTTAATCCAACCCTGACCTGTAATTAAGCCCACTGAAAAGGGCTGTGCTGTTGTTTGGCAGAACTGACCTCTGAAATACCTCCTCCTATCTTCCCCTGGACTATGATCCCACCTTGGAATACCAGGCCATGGTGTCCACTACAGTCACTAACCTCATTTTCTCTGGTGATCTCCTTCCTCACTGCCTCCAAGCTCAGTCTCCCATTCCTGCACGGCTTGCTTCTACCTCCTTCCCAAATTCACAAACAGGACCGCTCAGGCAGACCCCTTGTTTCTGCCCCACAGAACTCATCTTTTCCTACCTTGACTCCATGTTTTCTCCCTTGGCCAATCCCTTCCCAATTACAACCACGATTCCTCTGACACTAGGTTTCAGAATTTCCATTTTGCAGGACCTAGCCACCACCTCTTTACCATGAACGTGCAATCCTGTTACATGTCCCCATCCACCACCACCACCCTTCTCTGCCTGTCCTCACCCAGAACAACTTTTTTTAACTCCTCCCACTTTCTTAGGTCAAAGGGGTGGCCACCTGTACCAGCATAGGCCCCAATAATGCCTGTCTCTTTGTGGGGTACGTGGAAGATTCCTTGTTCCAGTCCTATTCCGGCCTAACTCTTTCTCTGGCATATCAACGATGTCATCAGTGCTGCTTCCCTCTCTCATCTGGAATTGGAAAATTTTTATCAATTTCACTTCCAATTTCCACCCCCCCTCTCACCGTCACTTGATCCATCTTGGACTCGTCCCTTCCCTTCCTCGATATTGGTTTCCATTTCTGGGCTTAGCTAGCCACCACCATCCACTACAAAAACACTAACTTCCACAGTTAACTTGACTATACATCCTCATACCCTACTTCCTGTGAAGACTTGATTCCATTCTCCAGAGGATCATTAGCCGCCATTTCTGTCAAGTCCAGCAGGATGCCACCACCAGATACATATTCCTCTCCCCTCCCGTCAGTTTTCTGCAAACACCATTCCCTCTCGGACACCCTGGTCCATTTCTTCTTCACTCCTAACATCCCCTACAGCCCCATGACACCTCCCCTTCAATCGGAGAATGTGGAACAGCTGCCCGTTTACTTCCTCCGTCCTCAGCATTCAAGTGCCCAAACACACTTTCCAGACGAAGCAGAAATTTACATGCACTTCACTCAATCTAATTTACCGCATTCGCTGCTCACAATATGAGCTCCTCTACAGTGGGAAAATGAAGCGTAAACTGAATGATCACTTCGCAGAACACCTGCAATCTATCTGCAATAGAGACCCTGAGCTTCCAGTTGCCTATCACTTTGACACACCACATTATTCCCTAGCCGACATCTCTGTCTCAGGCTTGCTGCAGTGTTCCAGCACAGTTCAGCTCAAGCTGGAAGAATAGCACCTCATTTGCCACTTGGGAACTCTGCAGTCTTCTGGACTCAATGGACTTCTCCCATGTCCTCACCCCAAGCCCCACACACTCGGCCTTGTTAACACAGGGTCCAGTATCACACACAACCCATTATTAGCCACTAATAGTCCTCATTCATAGCTATTCATTTTCTTAGGCCGATCGCTATCCACTCCTTTGTCTGTCCAACTGTTCTCTCTCCACCTCTCGTTTACTCTTTTAACAGACCATCCCCCCCGCCCAAACCTTATCTTCTGCATAAAAAACAATTTTATCCTAGCTACCCTCATCAGTTTTGAGGAAGGGTCACTGGACCCAAGGTGTTAACTCTGATTTCTCTCCACAGATGCTGTCAGACCTGCTGAGCATTTCAAACAAGTTTTGTTTTCATAGAATACACTGTGGCCCCACAAGTCCACACCGACCCTTGGAGCATCCCACCCTGACCTATCCCCCAGTAACCCACCTAATCCACACAATTCCTGAACTCTATGGACAATTTAGCACGGCCAATCCACCTAGCCTGCATATCTTTGGACTGTGGGAGGAAACCCACACAGACACGGGGAGAATGTGCAAACTCCACAGACAGTTGCCTGAAGGTGGAATTGAACCCGGGTCCCTGGTGCTGTGAGGTAGCAGTGCTAACCACTGAGCCACCATGCCACTCCATGAGATAGTAGGAACTGCAGATGCTGGAGAATCCGAGACAACAAGGTGCAGGGCTGGATGAACACAGCAGGCCAAGCAGCATCATAGTAGCAGAG